TTACTATTCGAATCAGTTTAAGTTCCGTCAAATTTTGAAAAGTAATGTTGTAACGATAAAAAAAAATAATAATAAAAAGTAAAGATAAAATAATGTGACATCATTTATGGTGGTGTTTTTAATCTCACTTTATATCTTATTTATCATATCAACACCACGTTATTTAATTCCTATCTATTAATTAATTATGGAGTAAGTTAATTAATGCACTGCCCAAAGTTCAGCCAATGGAATGGAATAAATATTTAATGGAATAGATATATTGTTTCATCATTGACTTGTGATGTTAAAATCATTGTATCAAATATATTTTTTTTGAGAATATTATATCAAATATACGGTAACTATTTTTGGCACTTAAATTGTCATCGGATTGGATATAATTTGTCATTAGTTACGTGATATCACCGTTGTCAATTAATGACAATGATGACGGCCTTCTATCATAGCCATGGTGTCGTGGAATGAATTTTTTTTAATATATTTTTTCTCTATTTTTTGATTGATTATTTATCGGATTTGTTAAATATAAATAAATTTTTTACCCATTAATAGTAAATAATTTGTCTTAAAAAAATAGAGAAAAAAAATATATTCCAGAGAATCTAGATCCTAGGAACATATACCATGTAAATATTTCTCACCCTGGGAATGTAATGAATCGATGTTGAAAACTATGTATGCCAACAGTTAGATGTCTTATTTAGGTTCGGCTTGAATAAAATTTGGATCGAGTTTGTTTTAAATGAGTAAAATTTGAATAAGTTTTAAGCTTGTTTAAAAAATTTAAGTCTAAAAAAGGCTTGACTCAAGATTGCAAAATTCGGCTTGTTTATATATAAAATAGTCGACCTGCTAGAGCTCGGCTAGGGTTCGGTCCGGGATCGGGCGCGACTTGAGTTCTAAACAAGTTAAATTTGAATAATTTTTTTAATTCATTTGAAAAAACGAGTTTGACATACTCTAATTCAATCTTGTAAAGCTCGTCTCAATTAACACTTCTACCAACAATGACATTGTCCGGTATTATTGTTATAAGTGTACTTCTTGAACTTTTTTTATTGAACCTCTATCACTTGTAATATCATTATATCAATAAATTAAATTAATTTTTTAGATTCTAATAACATTATTCTATGTTAGGAGGTTGTTTTAGGAAAAGTTTACTATAAATTTATAATAATAAAATAGAGCATCCTCCTTTAATGACTTAAACTCCTCAATTAAAAAAGTATAACAATAATTCATATCGTTTAGATCTGACGATTTATATTATAATTTAATTTTATAATTTTTTAACCACGATAATTTATTTAAATTTTAACTTTTAACTTTTTAATTATAGTAATTAACTTAACCACAGTAATTCACTTAAATTTGAACTTTTTAATCACAATAAATTAACTCATATATTAAAAAAAAATGTATTTTACACGGGGCACGAGTAGTGTTATATATTTTTGAACAAATGAATGTTTGGTATTTGTAAAATCTTTTTATTTTAATGTTTTGTATTTTTACTTTATTCTTTCCACATGAATTAATATAAAAAACTTAAATAAAAATTTATGGCTTATTTTCTTTTCCAAAAAAATAAAATAAAAAATATTTCTCGGCTATCCTGAGGAAAATAATATTTTAGTGTATTTGTGGTGGTCACGGTGACTTAGCTCTCAAGAATCGGGTCGTGATTCTACAATTGGGACCCCACAATCAATTGCGCCGCATTTACAGTTGCAAGCTATATGTGGTATTAATAAAGCAGCTATATTCCATCACTAATGTAGATTAAGACTACCCCAAAATGGGCCCTATAGTATGATTAAGGCTAATCTCTTTTTCTGTCCGATCAAAAATAAATCATCCACATTCGAGACTAAAAAATTTATAAGAGATTAATTTTTCATGGATCATGACATTAGGGTTTACAATTTATCTCCATTACTACTTAAACTATCTCTTGAAGTTGATTTTTTTTTTATCTTCAAGTTCATGTGTGAGTTGTATACTAACACTTTTTTTTTTTAAGACCGTCTAGCATTTATTCTTTCTTTATACCATAATATCACTAAATATTATTTCTTTTAGATTGAAACGTCACTTAATTATGTTGGGTCTTACTTAGATTTTTTTTTTTTGGGGGGGTCAATATTTAAAATTATTATAGGGAAGAAGACTGATGAAGTTTAAAATGGAATTAATTACAAGGTTACCAACTTTGGCAGCTTAAAGCTTTTGGATTGGTTTTGACTTGATTCCAAAGTTCATTTAAAGTGCATAATCCGATATAAAACCATACACTCCAAATTTATAATACTGCTAGTACTAATTTTTTTTTTATGAAGATAATATTTAGTAAGACCCACTAGTCGAAAGGTGAACAACTTAGCTTATAGCACATAATGTTTGCCACCACACTGATTGGTTGGTACATTGGTTAGCAGACCTAGAGATTGGGCTGGGGCTCTATGCTTTTTTTTTATGGTTTTACGACTTTGCAAGACCTGTGTTTTTGGTAAACAGTTACATGGGCTTGATCACTGCGACCTCCTTTGTGAGGAGGCACCCCTTCTCCCGAAGTTACATAGACAATGCCGGGGGAGAGAAGGGAATGCGTCGAGGCAACGAACAAGATAACTACATTTTGGCTTTTCCCTCCACAGTCAATATAAGTTGGACAAAAAAAATAGTTAGTTTATTTGTGTATTTTTCTTGTACTTATATATAGAAAGTTGGTGCACCAGATTCTTGAATGCTGGAATATTTGGCAACGGTACAGAGTCATGCCACACATTGCCCCACTCTACAACAAGGGCAGCCATGCTAGTTAGGATCAACACACTCCTCCAGGGTTACTCTGGAATAAGATTTGAGATCCTGGAAGCCATCACCAAGCTTCTCAATCACAACATTACCCCATGGTTGCCACTGCGCGGCACCATCAGCGCCTCCGGTGACCTAGTCCCCTTGTCATACATTGCTGGACTACTCACCGGCCGTCCTAATTCCAAGTGTGTAGGGCCTAATGGAGAGTCCCTTGATGCCTGGGAAGCATTCCGCCTTGCCGGGATTGATGGTGGATTCTTTGAGTTGCAGCCCAAAGAAGGCCTTGCACTTGTTAATGGCACAGCAGTTGGGTCTGGCTTGGCCTCCATAGTCCTTTTCGAGGCCAATGTACTAGCAGTTTTTTCAGTTGTTGTGTCCGCAATTTTTGCGGAAGTAATACAGGGGAAACCGGAGTTTACTGATCATTTGACACACAAATTGAAGCATCACCCTGGCCAAATTGAGGCTGCAGCTATCATGGAACATGTTTTAGATGGCAGTTCTTATGTTAAAGCAGCAAAAAAGTTTCACGAAACAGACCCTTTCCAAAAGCCTAAGCAGGATCGGTATGCTCTCCGTACCTCACCACAATGGCTTGGCCCTCAGATCGAAGTCATCCGATCATCCACGAAATCAATTGAACGAGAAATCAATTCAGTGAATGATAACCCTTTGATCGATGTGTCGAGGAACAAGGCCTTAAATGGCGGGAATTTCCAGGGTACCCCAATTGGTGTCTCCATGGACAACACAAGATTAGCTATAGCTGCCATTGGAAAACTGATGTTCGCTCAATTTTCCGAGCTGGTTAATGACTTCTACAACAATGGGTTGCCTTCAAATCTGTCAGGTGGACGAAACCCGAGCTTGGATTATGGGTTCAAGGGTGCTGAGATTGCCATGGCGGCCTATTGTTCCGAGCTCCAATTCCTTGCCAACCCTGTCACGAACCATGTCCAAAGTGCCGAGCAACACAACCAAGATGTGAACTCTCTAGGACTGATTTCTTCAAGAAAGACAGCCGAAGCAGTTGAAATTTTGAAGCTTATGGCATCAACTTATTTGGTTGCAATTTGCCAAGCTGTTGATTTGAGGCATTTGGAGGAGAATTTGAAGAACACAGTCAAGAGAACTGTGAGCCAAGTGGCTAATAAAGTTCTCTCAATGGGCATCAATGGAGAGCTTCATCCTTCGAGATTCAGTGAGAAAGACTTGCTCAATGTAGTCGATCGCGAGCATGTTTATGCATACATTGATGATCCATGCAGTGCAACTTACCCATTAATGCAAAAGCTCAGGGAAGTCCTTGTTGATCATGCATTGACCAACGGCAATGACATGAACAATTCCAACTTTTCGATCTTCCTCAAGATTCAAGCTTTCGAGGAGGAACTAAATAGCCTCTTACCTGAAGAGGTTGAGAGCACCAGAAGCAGTTGGGAGAGCGGAAATCTTGCGATTCCAAACAGGATCAAGGAATGCAGGTCTTACCCTCTGTATAAGTTTGTGAGGGAAGAGTTGGGGACTAGTTTTTTGACTGGAGAGAAGATTATCTCACCAGGAGAGGAATTCGACAAGGTGTTCTCAGCAATTTGTGAAGGAAAACTCATCGATCCACTGCTAGAGTGTCTCAAGGGTTGGAATGGCACCCCTCTTCCAATTTGATAGCACATTATTTCTATATTAGCAATAATTTCCGGGTGCTAATTTTCAGGTTACTGGAAACCAAAACATGCTCAGCACCAAAGGGCAACTGCTTTCTATGTATAATGTTCTGCTTTGAACTTTTGAAATGCTGTTGCAACGTGAAGAAAATCCATGCTGCTTCTATTGATAATTTACTTGGCGCCTGTCTACCAATTTAAGAAATGTCTTTGGAAATATTTGTCCATAGCAAAATCTCACTTGAGAGGGCGGGCCTTGCTGCAAGGTATGGTTACTCACTAATGACCCGAACGTCAAAGGTTTGGGTCGTGGAACCAATCTAGCCGCATGAGAGAAGAAGGCTTCATACCTCTTTGACCATCTCTAAACCCCAGTGGCAAGAGTATCATGCAGTGACAATTCATCCTGGGCTTATTTCATTCATTATGAACTAAATTGTGTAAACCTGTCCCCCACCCCCAAAAAAAAAACACACACACACACGATAAACAAAGGAAAACCAAATAACACCGCAAATGAATTAAAGAAAAGTAGAAATATACATCGTAACATAGTACAAGAAAGCATTGAACCATACAAAACTGAGAGTTTCTTGATTTAAGAAACCAATTATGTACAAGCACATTTTTAAATGCACTCTCTTGTTAGCCATTACAATTTACAAGAGATCTCCCACAAATGAGGTTGCAACGCCCAGCAATTGACTAAAGTTAGACAAGGAGCAACTTTTCAAACTATCTCAGCAGGTCAATCATCATCAGATAAACAAACAACATCAGCGACTACAGCAGAAGGGGCCGAGCTAACTTGCATGCTACCTGATGCTCCAAACTCGGATAAGTCTAATGAATCAAAGGTTGTACTAAAATCTGCTAGAGGCGGCATAATGTCAGGCTGATGTGCACCAGAACGACTATCAATGTCCATAAGCATCTCCGTTGCAGACAGCGATAAATTATGAGCTGGCAAGCCTCCAGCATTTTCAGGCTGGGGAGGCCTACTACAAGGGCCAGAGTGATTGGTTGCTAATGATGATGGTGGTGGCAAGCCTCCAGCATTTTCAGGCTGGGGAGGCCTACTACAAAGGCCAGAGTGATTGGTTGGTAATGATGATGGTGGTGGTGGAAGCTGGGTATGCGATGGAGAAGTTGCAGGCAGGTTATTTGGTGCCGGCTGGCAAGGTATCCCAGGTGTTAGGGATGTGAAACTGGCAGTGGACATGGATGCAGGTCTGAAAGGTTGAATATGTGGTGCTGGGGCACGAATCTCACCAGCAACTCTGACTGTGGACGGGGTGATGGGGCTAATATGAGGTGGTCTGGTCATAATGCTTGCGAAAAGTGCTGCTGAATGGTGAAGCTGTGGAGAGAGTGGGGTAATCTGCTGGCTGGCTGCAGCTTGGCCAGCCGGATACGAACCATTGACGAGAGGTCTTGGTGTAGGCTGCAATGATGATTGATGTCGATGCTGCATCAAACCAGAAGGCATAGCTGGCAAGGAAGTACAAGCTCATGTGATCAATAAAAAGAAACACAAGAAACTCCAAGCAAGTCTAAGTTGAACCCAAATAAAAGCACCCAAATCTTCCAGCATATGCTTGCGCACGCATATAAATAATTGTCTTGTGCAACGCAATATAGTTGCCGACATTGTAGTTTCACGGTATTGATAGCAAGAACCAAAATTTCATTTCAAAATGGCCAAACACATCTGTTTTCAAGGGGACCAAAACGAACTACTGATTAAAATGAAATTCTAGTACTTTGAGGTGTTGAAGTGTTTTAAGATGCTTCAATATATTTTGACCAAAGTTTTAAAATATTTTGAAAATAAATACCTAAACTTTTTATTCGTTTCCATTTTATTTTTGAAACTTTTCAGAAATATTTTCACTATGAAGCACGAACACTCTCAAGAAAATGATGTATCAGTGTCGAACACATGTCAGACACTGACACTCTTCAGACACGTGTTCGATACTCTTTTATCTATCCATAATTAAATGATAAAATTTTAATTTTGGACAAGTGTTCAACACTTCTTCAATGACGTGTCCGACACTTTTTTAAAACATGTCTACTACTAAACAATAAATATGTGTTGGCATACGTACAATTAACAAGCTTAAAATTTTGACTATTAAGTATCTTATACTATGAGAAAACATATAATTACCAAGACTAACATGTTAAAGTTGTACTGAAATAAAATTAAGAATGCATCCGGAACTGTTCTCTCACTTTATTGGAAGGCTAGACTGCTTATTAACCTATTCAGGTTGAACTCGAGTAACCTATTTGTTCAAGACCGGACCACACGCTCTCTCTTAATTTGGCAAGAAATAACTAGGTCTAATAAGACAATTTTCACCTTTCCTAAGACTCTAGTGAAGAAGAAAACACACCATACTTTCCATGATTTACAGAAGGCATAATACACTTTTTTTTTATAACAATTTTGAAGTATACCTCCGACGAGATCAGAATGTAATTTCCTAAATTTATACAGGAAGTAAATGGGCCTGAATTCCAAACACAACCAAGTGCTTTTGCCTAATATCCACCCAGGTCGGGGTCTACTCTGAGGGGGAGGGGCATAGGAATGCAGACTAAGGATCAGAAAGTGGCCATCAAGCCTGTAGTCAACAGGGAGAAGTCTACACAAATCATTGTTGAAAACTGGGCTCAAGCATTGGAACAAGCCACAATTGAGAGATCAATTCCGCAAATAAGGGTCCCACAAAACAAAGTGTAATGTAGCATGTTCAGTTGAAATATTGTCCTTGTCAATATGGTGATTTTTTAGAACAAATTTGAGCAGTTTGAATACATGAAGCCAAGTACCACAGCCAAGAACTACACTTCTCAGCCTAAGTACTAAAAAAGATTACGTAGTGTCTAACATATCATATTCCTAAAACCAGCAGTGATACCCAATACGAGATGAACACTAATGGTTAGGGGAAGGTATGTTAAGGAAAATATACCTTGTGGCATTCCCAAGGACCCGGTAGACCTGAGATCCACGCACTTAGACCTGAAAGCCTCAGCCAATATCTTATTCATGAGAACTTTGTTGTGATTTGTATCAAAAATATTCTTTTTCAGTAGGAATGCTGCCTCAGCCTCCTGAAGTTTAGCCTCGTACTTGCTACGAATTTGAGCAATAATTTCTTCTATCTCCTTGTCACATTCAGATTTCAGCCGCACTTTCTGCTCAAAGAAAGATAATACTGAGTGACGAAAATGAAAATTAACACTACTCGTGATAATAAATCAAGACAGAGCAAATGTGACCCTGACCGTTTCTTCATGAACCTTGACGGCTTGTTCCGTCTCTTTACGTAATCTTTCCAATTCATTTTGAAGTGGATCAGCATATAAAGGGGTAGGTGGCATCCGGGAGGCTGCTTGGCGTGCACTTTGCGCTAGAAAGTTGTTGAATCCTTGTGTAATGGACAAATTTGCGTCAGCTGGCAAAACAGCTCGATTTGGAAGCTCGGCTCTGACCTCGTCCACCAGAGGTGAAGCATCAGCATTTTGAAAAGAAGCATGCAACTCACCACTTGGTTGATTTTGAACTCTGCTAGTTGAACTTAAGTTGGGCTGATTATTCCCCAGAGGTAATTGTGTAGCATCAGGCTGAGGATGCACTTCGAAATTTGCCCCAGTTCGTGAAGCAGCCATATCTGAAAGCTCTGCTTGGTTTCCAGCTAACTGGAAAGATGCCTCAGCATTTTGGAAAGAGATGTGTCCTTCACTACAAGGTTCTCGAGCAAGTCTATTAGCTGGAGGTAAATCACACTGATTTTGACCCACACTTGTGTCATTACACTGTGACTCGTGCAGTCTATCAAGAGGTTCTAATAACGGGGCATGATGATTTGACTGATCAATGGGTCCATCATCGACAGGTTGCAAAGGTGAAAGACCTTGTTCCAACGTACTCTGATTGCCATGAAGAGTTTCGTCTTGAACTCCAATTTCAATGCATATCGATGCTGGAGAACATGCATCGTGCTCCTGACCATATAAGATATCAAAAGTAAGGATCCACACATGTTATTAGTTCTCTTTTAGAATATTTTTCTCAGCATGTAACACAAAAATATTTAGTGACATCTCACCAGCATTTCCTTACAACACAAATAAAAATAGCATATAGCAAACTAGTCATATAGTTCACCTATAGCATAGATGACTTTGAACCAGAATAAATTCAATTTTCAGGGTAATTATGCTATTAATCATTATTTCTCATTTCAAAAGGAAAAAAGAGGCACAATCGATGAATGTTTCCCAAAGTTCCGGGAAGAAGCATGAAATTCTCTTTGGGGAATCAGCACAAAGACACTGAACACAGGAAGACAAGATATATATGTAATGGAAATTCTTTAACAAAAAACCTCATATACCAGATACTGTGGCAAAAGATCATCACAAGCAGGAGTACCAACTGGCTGTACTGAAGGTAACTCTATCAATGATGGCCCGAGGAAAGGTGACTCGGTGTTAAAGGAGTCATTGGCACCATCACTATGGATTCTCAATGCGTTTGATACATCATAGCTCATTTTATTTCCTCCTTCATTCTCTCCATTGGTAACCACAGCAGGACTTCCTATTTCTCCGGCATCAACATCACCCACCACTTCATTAAGAACAGTTTCAGGCACTTCTGATGGAACATCTTCACCTCTCAAAATTGACTGAACTCCATCTGGTGGCTGTTCTTCAGAAGATGGAGGATTCACACAAGCAATATTCTCAGAACTGGCAGTGGAATTGCCTACTCTGTCGGGCTGCTCCATTCTATCAACCGATACTCTGCCCGTGGCCATAGTCTCCACATCATCATCATACACACTCACACGGGTACTTCCAGTGTCGGCGGGTATGCTATAGCCTAACGCTTCATTTGGAAGAGTCTTAGTAATATCAGTTGGTGCCACACAACTCAACAGCGTACTATGCACAATTCTATCTGGAATCTGTTCTGTAAGATGTTCAGGCACATGAGCAACGTTCTCAAGGCCATTGCAAGCTCCAAGTTCACTTGCCCGAGAGTACCCCACCTTGTTCCTACATTCAGATCCATGCAAAGGAAGTTCATCGAGAGCTGTACCTTCACTTGTGCTGGACTTTATTTCTGCCAACCAATTAGCCACCTTGTGTTTCTCCTCATCCCTTGCGGTCAAATGCTTTGCCTCGAGATCTTTAAAGCATATATCCTTCTGGTGTTTGTGTTCTTCCATTTTTTCCGCAAACTCATTATCTACCATTTTGAGCTTATCCATCTGCATTGAATTTTTTTGATGTATAGAACGCACAAAAGCTGACTCGACTCTATGCTCTTTTTCCAATTGCAACCTCTTCTCCTCCCAAAATCTGTGAAACTCCTGAATTTCCTCATGTTGCTTTCGAAGGAGCTTTGTCATCCGCTTTTCACATTTTCGCTGGACTCGTCTAATACTTTTTAGCATTTCCCCCTTGGCCATTCTAAGCTTAAATGCATCTTCCTGCAGCAAAAGAACCAGTTTATCAGTAAATTCCTGGTCATGTGACCCCTCTTTAATCTCAACTTTTAGTTTTTTAAAATTACATGCCTCTAACTGTGACTCCCCTGCATCTAATGGCTCTTTTGTAATTTTAATATCTTCAGTGGTGGCTATGTGATCTTGTGAAGAAGCAGATTCCTTGATATTATCTCCCCAGGATAAGAACATTTTCTTCAATACCCGCAACTTTGAATACACATAGTTTGCCTCTTCTTCCTTGCAACTAAAATCTAGGTGACGCTTTGCTAGTTCAATTGATTCCTTCCTATCAACTTTGTGTTTCAACAATGAAGCTGCGATCCAACACTGTAATAATCGCATAACCATCCATGAGTATACAGTTAGATACATGCACATAAGAGAATATCGACAGATAAAGGGAGTGAGAGTGTAAGACCATGCGCGAGGGTGTGAGCACATGCACAGAGGAGTGGGAGAGGGGAATTATGACGTGTAATGCTTGGTTATCTTAAAACATGAGTTTACCTTTTATTCATTTCAACTAAGCTAGGATCCTAAAAGGATGACTAACTATAATTTTTTGCATTACCACCACCTACCAGCCAGAGGTTGGGAGTATAGGGTTTAAATCGAGAATTTTAGCTAGATGGACTCAGGCAACCTCTTTGACAGTCTTCATTCTGCAATTCATTATGCATACACTGATACACATACTTTAGATGGTACATGTGTGTATATGGGACTTACGATTGAAGAGTTTGGGCTTCAATCTCTCACAAATCTGGGATCTACATTCTCCAAATTCTAAAGTTCTCATATTTCCAGCAAATTTACTGCCCATTTAACTTTTTTTTGTTTCCTTTATCACCAAGTTGCTCTGTCATACTTTCCAACTTTTGGTCAGTGCTAGTGAAAGAGTAAAGGACTTGTTCCATTCACAGGCTCTGACACCTTTATGATATGTATCACCATATCAGTAGAACAGAGGCGCAGAGGTGCAAAGCAGTGCTAGTGAAAGAGTAAAGGACTTGTTCCATTCACAGGCTCTGACAACTTTATGATATGTATCACCATATCAGTAGAACAGAGGCGCAGAGGTGCCTTTGCAATTATTTTAAAGGGGTAAAGAAACTGTAAAACTAACAACCTCCTGATTAAAATTGCTATTTTTAATTGGTTAACAATAACAGTAATCATTATAATAATAATTGTAATAACAAATATAACATCAAGTTCTATTCTCCAGACTGACAAAAGAACAATGAAAATGTTTTTCATCCAGTGCTGAACCAAATGGGCTACAAAAGGGTCCTATTAACATCTACAAATTTTATGTACTTGACCCAATGCAACTCAACGAAGCCTTTACAAAATACATAGAAAAATTATGGATTATCTCTCTATGGCTTGCTCCATAAACCAAAAGCTCCTTATATTTTAGAAGCCTACACAGCTCCTATAGTTTTGAACCAAGTTTTCCATCCAAATTAGGAATTTGTAAACAGACTCATTTACCCAACACCCAAATACTCCTTAATCCTTATTTGAACAAAAAGAACCATTATTCCTTAATCTCTCACACACACACACACACATAGCCCACAGACAAAAACACACACTCTCTCTCTCTCTCACAAGAAAGTACAAGTCTTTGCCAAGGAAAAGCTTCAAGATTTGTTCATGCTGACCCCACAAACCCATAAACTGCATAGTGTCCACTTCAGGCTGTGAACTATTTATTGGATCATACAACTTTCAGAGGTTGATCTTTCGGAAAAAAAAAAACTTTCAGAGGTCGACTGAAGACACCTTCAAGGTCAAACCATATTCCAATGCAATACAATTCCAATTATTGACAAAACCATGATGTGCCTTTTAAATCCATTTTCATTATCAATTTAAACTATAAAATTTGAAACCATCTCAGGATTTGACGAGTTGAACATGTGACCACACGAGCAAGAGAGAGAGCACAAGAGCGAGTACAAGAGAGAGACGAAGAGAGAGGGATAAAATGTTGGCAACTGTTAAACTAGAGAAGAAATACAAACACGACTTTCATTGCTAGAAAAAGGGTTACTTGGTCATTAAGAAAGTTCATTTCGGAGGAAAAACAACATTCTCATGCCAAAAACACTTCTTGGGCATGTGTAATCCCTTTGGCAGAAATATTAGTGGATTAAATGTAGCCAGGTAATGTGTTACGAGGACAAACCACAAGAAAATCTGTAATTTATAGGTGTTGTTATTTTCAAATAACATAAAGTTGTAGAGAACTGTTATAATCTGAAGTGTCAATTTTTTTGCACAAGTATGTGTACCCTTAGTTATTATAGTCTTTCATTTGTTCCCTCGTGTTATGAACTCTTGACAACCTATCCAACTCTCACTTCATCAACAATTTTGAACTCACAAACAGACGAAAAGCATTAAACTTGAGTAAACTTATAGAAAAGAGACTCTAACCTATGATAGATAGAGGTGGACCCGTATTAGATATCATATCCATATACCATATTCGTCGGATACTCGATGATACGTATCAGATATACGTCTTACGTATCTGATAATAATAAAATATTTTGTTACTTTGCTAATACTTATATAACAGAGCAGTATAATTTTTTAATGTAATATTTAAACATCTCCTTTCGAATTCACATACCATACAAAAAATCAACAAAAATTCTAACGACTTTGAAGTCACGAGCTTTTTTACGTTTTATCTACTCTTACATGTTAAAAGAGCATAAATTAATCTATTTATACTTTTAGCAACAAATATTTTTAAGCATACTAAGTAAATATTAATTTTGATCCTTTTAATTAGTCACTTCACTTTGTGAATATACCATAATGATACGACATATTTTTTTGAAACTAAAAAAAAAATGTCAATTTTGCTTATTATGTTAAAGAATTACCAAAATATATAATTAATGAGTCGGTAGATAATAGTAAAAATATGAATTATACTTTACTATAAACGTATTCTAACCATATCCGTATCTTATTTTTTTAGATTGTCATATCTTCGTATCCGTGCTTCATAGGGTGAACAAAATTATGTATTGAGTCAATTGTTATTGTTTATAATTTAATAACCACAGCCTACTACGTAGCTTGAGGTTTTACCCTTTAGACACTCACAGTTAAACAGAGATTTCTCTTGGAGAAATTAAAGCTAAATTGACAATCGAACTTCGATATTTTTTACAGACCCATTATAAGTTTACCTCCTTAACTATGTCTCTTCTCTCACCTTACCCTTTGTACTAGGGTTGTTAATCAAACTGAGCTACTCGAGTTTGACTTGAGATCGGCTCGGGTTTCGTTCGTTCAGGCTTGGTTCGTTTTCTAAACGAGCCCGAACTTGAACAAGTTTTTTGGCTCGTTTAGAAAACAAGCCCTATAAGCTCAGCTCAAACTCGATAAGCTCGGCTTGTGTATATGCAAATACTCGAGCTCGGTTCGGACTTGACTCGGGTTCGGCTCGTTCAGGAAATGAGCCGAACTTGAACAATTTTTAAAACTCGATTAAGAAATAAGTTTTTCAAGCTCGGCTCGAACTTGACTTAGGCTCGTTTGACTAACAGCCCTACTCAGTACTGTCATGTTTCTCATATTGAAACTCCAAGTAGTTTCACATTTCTCCAATAGTTTCACATTCAAATTAGATGGAAAGATGTCACTCTACCCCCAAATTATGAGATTTTGTTCCATTTGCCCCCAATATAATGACACGACGACATTTTCCATCAAAATTATAACAGACGTCTGATTTTCGGTCAACTTCAAACCAATTCAAGCGGTAGAGCGGACAATGTGAGAACGTGTATAGTAGAGGGGTGGATAGACAACAGGGCCACAGTTTACGAATGCAAAGTATAATTGGCCCTATGCTTAATTTTTCATTGAATTAAATTGTAGGACTATCTATCATACATAATTTTATTCAAAGATTTATAAAAATTGGCAATGTGTAAAAACTGATTGTTGAATGACCTGACTGGAGAAAATCTTGGCTCCAATCCAACCTAGCTACGAATCATAAGACATATTATGACAATACTCAGGATGATGGGAAGAATCTAACCAGAGATATCTGGAAAGCTTGTAATATACTTGCTGGCTCCCGGCTGACATGATGGTTCTCAATTACGTATTTAAGAAAATTACTGGCCATAACCTTGATATCCTCCTGTAAAAACAGTCAAAGATGCACCATGTCAGATAGTGCTACTGCTGTGATTAAAAAAAAAAAAAAGATAGTGCTACTGCAATCTACTAGTGAAACACACCATCACAGCATGAGCTTTACATATGTTCAACAATTAAAAGCAATTTTGAAATACACATGATATACAATTTCATTAGATCCTTAACCCAAACCCTGATCTCTTTTCTGTTCACCCCCATGTAGAACTGAAAAACAATATTCATTTAGCACAAAGGGAAAAAACAGAAAACAAATAATATAGCAACCTGTCAAACAAATCAAAACTGCAGCCATATAAAGGTAATTACTTTATCACCTTTTCAGAAACCTTAAATGTCTTCTCTAGTTTGACCGACAAATAGCCATTAGGCACCAAATTCAACAACTTACTCTGACGTGGACAAAATACATGGATGGCCAAGAAAGTAACATATCCATGACTAGACAACTAACTATGAAGTAAAGGTTCAGTAGAATGAGGAATGTCTGGTTGTTTAAACTAGTGGTTGAAATCTGAAAGAGGTGACAAATACAAAGGATGATCATATTGTAGAGGATGTGAACATCATAATCAATGCTTGAAGCCAGAAATTCTGCATGAAAAGCATATATTGCCCATGCAATTTTGACATTCGAGGAAAACTGCAGATAAATTCAATCCCCACAAGCAAAAATAGAAAAGGGAACAATAAACATGTCATAGTCATTTAACCAATGAGACTAACATTATTAAAGAATAAAACTTATCAAAATCTTAAAAAAGATGACTCGTCAATTGAAAGGACAATTCAAAAAGGCTCACGAAGCTTCAGATATGTAGGTAGGAGGCATGAAATTAGGATGAAAACAAGGGACTTAAATCTTGTTCTTGACAAACTAGAACCACTCTTTAGTGTCAATAGCGTAAAGCCTGAATGAACTTCATTGTACACAATTTTGATCATGCCATAATTCATTAATGTGGGATTCCAAACGATGCCCTTAAAACAACTTTGCACATGACTAGAAAAGATAAACATAGAAATGAAGTAGAAATAATGGTAGATTCAAATACTAAATAGGAAGTGGTGAACATTATTAGAAAAGAAGATAGAGTAATATTAATTAAACTTATAATAGGGAGAAGGATAAGCAATATTATTAGTGCGTAAACAGCTCAAATAGAATTAGATGAACACATTGAAATTCAATTTTGGGAGTATATGAATGAACCAATGAGAGCAATGTTATGAACCGGACCCTAAACCGGTCCGATTCTGATATTAGATTGTTTATGCACTTGAACTAGAGTTGAACCGTTAAAACCGGCTGGTTTTAACAAGCCGGTATAAAAACCTCGTTTAGGGAAAATTTGCCCTAAATCCACAAATCAATCGATCCCTCCTTCCCTTTTCTTCTCCATTCTCTCACTGAAACACAGACGACATACCCGCACAAGTTTAACTCGATCCCTGTGTGTGTGTCTCTCTCTCTCTCAGTGAACTTGTTCTCACTGCTGTGGAAGTTGGAAAGGTGGAAGCTGTGTGATTGTGTAATACACGATAGAGCTCATCTTCGAAGTCCGACAGAGCTAATCTCTGATTCAGGATAGATGCACAACAAATGTTATCTTCGATTAGCAAAATAAGTAATCTTTAATTCTGGTACCAAAGTCCTTCTATATGTTGGAATTTTGTTATGGGTTCAAGAAAGAAAAGTCATGTGTTATAGAAATAAAAAATATAAACCAGTTTAAATGTAGACCTAAGTTTGGGGATCAAAACCAGTGTATTCTGTGATTAGAGCATCTATGGTAGCCAACAGTATTGTTAATGCACTTTGTTTTCTTTGCCAAGGAATATAAAGTAATAGAAGTTTAGCTTCCTGAGTTGTTTGTCACTGTCTGTACCGGAGTTGAGAATTTCAGTCATATAATGTGATTTGCAGTAGTGATTCTAATTTAATGTATTTTGAGAGTTTTGAGTCATATAATGTGTTTTTTTTTCCACCTAAAACATGGTATTATATATATATATATATATATATATATTAGCTTAATTATTATGTTTTAGAATTTTTTTAATATGACTAATCCAACCAATTGATCCCAACGGTTGAACTAGTGACCAACTGACCCTGCCAAGTTGATATCCGATCTCGTTCAAATAACTATAAATGAGAGCAATACCAATTGAGATTAGGAAAAAAAAAATTATTTTTTCTAGTATTAGGATGTCGAAGATAAAAAAAACATTAAAGAAAATGGAGACATGGAAAGCTCTAGGAACATATGGTATACCTATTGAGTTTTGAAAGTGTGTAGGGAAGTTGAGGTATCATGATCAACTAAATTCTTCAATAAAATTACAATGAACAAGAAAATGTCAAATAAATGGAGGAAGAATATTATAACACCTATTTATAGGAATAAAGGAGACATACAAAGTTTTACAAATTATAGAGATATTATACTAATGTTTAATGCATTGGGAGAGAATGAGCAAGCAAAGACTACTATTTGAAACAACAATATCTCAGAATCAATTTGAAATTATGCTTGGGACTTGGAAGATCAACAATGAAAGCTATACATAGTTGTTAGTATCATACAATACGCGTGATACGTATCGTACCATACGTTTTGATACATGAAGAAAATGATACGTATTGCTTACGTGTATCAAATTTGCAATGTATTGTATATCGCACGATAAGATACACCTAATACTAGACGATACGTAAAAGTCATCCGATACTAGAGAAATAGATTTTTTTTTTATATTCGCTCCATTAGATGAGTAAATAGTTTGATTGTTAAAAGTTTCACATGGATGTATTTTTTTTTAAACACTAAGTAGTGAAACGACGTTTCACAATCTAGAGTCTTAAAAAATAAAATTATTCTTTTGTTGTTCGCTCCATCACAAACAAATAGTTTGATTGTTAAAAGTGTCCTCGTCTGAAACTCTCAAAATTTTGATATTGATAAATTATGTTAGCAACTCGAATACTTAGACTGTTAAGTTTTGGTTTTGGTCCTCGTTGTCTCTTTAATTTATTTTTTGAGAAATTTGTGGTGCAATGAAATATTATTATTACATTTTTTATAGGTATATATATTTTTTAAAATATTTTATAAAATTGCACGTATCTTATGATATACAATACGTTACGATACGCAATACACAATTTTTGAAAAATGATACACCTTCAGATACATAATTTGACAACCTTGAAACTATATGTTTACTTTGGAGACTAATGGAAAGGTATTGGGAAACAAATAAGGACCATCAAATATGATTTCTAATAGACTTAGAGAAGGCATCCGATAAACACCCTATACATATAGTATGGAGGATTGTGGAGAAAAAGAAGTTGTTGTTAAGTATATTGATGTGTTTAAGGATATGTATAAAAATAGGAGAGACTAATGAATTGTCAATCACCACAAGCTTACACCAGAGTTCTGCTTTAAGTCCGTATCTTTTTGCATTGATTATGGATGACTTGATTAGACACATTCAGGGTGAGCTCTCATGGTGTATGTTATTTACAGATGATATTATATTAGTTGATAAAGTAGTAAAGAAATATTGTACATTTTATGGTTTAATAGAAAGCATGACTCCTAATAAAGTATACTGGCAAAACAGGATGCGTGCAAAAAATGTTAAAACAAGACTTTGTTGAGTTGAGTTGAATTAAGTTAATCGACAATTAAAGAGAATAAACCAAGATACCCTTCTCCAAGATAATGCAAATATTTGATAACTTCTTCCAATAACAACCCAAAAGGGAGGGGCTGGAGGTTATGGTAAGTGTGGGTTTTGGTGGGGGGCAGCAGAGATCCCAACCAGTTCCATAATTTACATCCCCATTAGGTTATTACAACCACACCAACAGCATCTGTCTATACAGCAAAATCAACCTATATTTAGCTTTCAGGTCAACTAAATCAATATTTTCCATATGCGAAAGATGGTAGAAATTTCCACAAAAAAATTAAAAAATCCATGCATTTATTGTAAACAAATGCTAAGTAGACCTCTGGAAGGAATGGTTCAAAGGCTTCTAACTCAAAGCCATGGGTAGCTAAACTGACATGAAGCATGGCAGTGATCATGAAAGTGTTCACCTGGAGAACTTGAAAATCATGACAGTAGGAGACCTTAAACATTGAGGCTTGTTCCAACTCTATTAGCACGTATAGAAAGTTGAGGCTCATCGCCAATTATTTTTTCTTTTCAGATCTATCATTAGCATGATTTAGCCAATTTGCATAGCATGTCACAAACAACAACAATTATAAATAGAAAAGTCCAACTCGCATGCTAAAAACTGTTTTTCCTCATCAATATAATATTTTTCTAGTAAAAAAGGGAAACGATATATGTCATCAAGGCAAATTCCCCATGCATCATGAAAGTACTTAAAGTGATCCCACATCCTACAAAAAAACATCTTAAGGAGGGGTGTGTGGGATGCATACTGATAAGTTCAGAATTTCACAGAGTCTTGAAATCTCTGGTTTCAATAGAAGATGAAGACTCCCCTGTGCATCAGACAGTGTTCTTTCCTCAGATTGAACCATGTGAGCTTCAGTTAACAACGAGTTATCACCAGAGAAAAGAGGCCTAGAAGTATGCTTTGGGTGAAGTGGGTTAGTAAAAACACCACTTGTCCCAGTCACAGATTGAGCCCCATTATCAGCTGGAATTCCAGAAGTTCCTGCGAAATTCTGAAAAGCTTCAAAAGCTAAAAAAACATAGCTACCACAATGGCTATATGATTCACTAACACCCAGTCGAACTTAACTGCACCCAGGATACCATTTTAAGAAATAAACGGCCAATGGTCAACTTGAAACATCAATAGTAGTTTCGGCACTTACCTCCTTTGTCCATTGCAACCTCACCCTCTTCCACTCCAGGCTTTGGAGAGGTTGGATCAATGCAATTGCTGACCAACTTCTTGCGCTTCTTTCCAACTTCATCAGTTTCAACCTCTGGCTTCTTTGGTGACTGCTCATAATATTGGACTCTCTTCCTGCTCCTCTGAGTCGGTAAAGATAAGTATTTCCATTGTGGATTCCTTCCATGCAACAGCTTTGTCCAAAAAAAATTCGGTTGTTCTCCATCTGTTGACTGGACTTTTAGCTCACCAGGCAATGGAAGATTTGTCCTGTGAGGCCCCCCACTGTGTTGAACTTTCAGAATCATGGAATTGCTTAAATCATTATCATTACCATTCTGAGAAAGTATAGCCAAGACTTCTTTGACAGCATCATGCATAAGTGATTGCTCTGAAGATATATTTGTACTGGAAGCTGGGGTATTACCACTGTGAAACTCATCCAACTTATCAAATAAATACGAGGCACCCCACATGAGCAGGATGTCACTAGCACTCCGACTTACATTCTGTAAATTGCTATCAAGAAACTGATCTTGCTTCGCAAGGGTTAGAATTTTTTCTTCCACAGTACAGGATGAATATAAACGGAGAATCTTGATCTGTTCAAACTGTGAATCAATAGTTATTCGGTGTAGTGCCCTTATATCATTCATTGGGTTCCAGTCGCTACCATATATGATTATAGCATCCACTGATGATAGTTTGATGCTTGGAAGACAAGCACGATTTTCTAATAAAAAGACAAATCTCCCGCTCTCCCTGTTAAAGTTATTTAGAGCAGCTTGCTTCTTAGACGGGACAACACCCGCATCCACACGTTCATAAGAATCTGGACCAAATCTTTGACGCAGAAAATCATCCAATATATCTCCAATTGAATTCCTTCCGGAACCACCAATCGACTGTCATGAGGTGGTGATGTATGAGAACATAACAATAACAAGGAAAATGTGATGAATACCATAGTGGGAAGGGGGCCTTCTCTCCTTCACAGGAGGAGGGAGTATGGCGGTTGTGCACCAGCTTTGCAGAAAGTGCATATGATATGAACAAATTATTGCGCTCCTTAATCACAAGCCCATGCTACAGAGCCCAGCATATATACATACATAGATCAAATACAATAAAATTAAAGCTGAGAATTTGTGGTGACACTACTCGCATGAAGCTTAAATATAAACAAAAGAGAGACAAATCCCCTCCCCTTGAGTATTTCCCCAGTTGTATGTGATTATATAATAAGCAGAATTGTCATGGATTAATGGAAAAAACTAAGATTTTAAAAATTAGATGCCCTAAAACAGGTACAGTTTTAGAAGAACTAAGCTCCATTGCAGGTTTAAATCAAAATCATCAAAGTATGCACCTGAAAAAGGATTAGCACTCGTAGTTGACGGTTCTTCATCTCTGACAGTATCGTATCGAGAAGATGCAACTTGCCACTTGCTTTTATTCCAAAATCCAATAACTCAGCCTCAGAAAGACCTTTAGTCAACAAGACTAGGGACGGATCCAGTATGTACGGGTGATCACAACACTGTCAAGAAAAATCATGAGCATTGCCTCAGAGAGCTGAGAATGTAGCAAACCATTGCAAACGACGCTAAAAAAAAGTTATGAATCTGATTGTTCTCAAAAGATGGAAAGGCAAGTGCAACCTAGAAAAAAGCGACCTTCATTTTCTTTGGCATCTCAGAAGAATATACTTTGCTTATCAAAAATAAAAGTAAAATGATAGTATAAACATGGAGCCAGGCACAGATAGGTTGATTGAAGATCCAAAAGACAGGATTAGAATGTAACAAAGTGCACTTATGGAACGAACAAAGGTAGAATCAATTATTATGAACTAGATTATTTCCCAAAAAATCCTGTGTGCCCAACTCTCAACTCTAACACCATGTTAAAGCATTCAACTCAAAATCAATTGGAAATGAGAGAAGAGGCTGATAATGATCATGTGAAAGTTTATCAGGTGTTAGTTAATCAGATGGGACTACTACATCCAAACATACACATAGGGATGTAAATTCTAAACATGACCCACCAACTGGATATGAAACCAGCCCCAAGTTATCAGATATAGGTTTAGCCTTAACGGATTGAGGTCAATACCGGCTTGACTGCCAAACCCACTTGGCACAAACTCAACTATGCACGACTTATAAACGACGATACATGACTACAAATGTGTCACATATGGTAGATCAAATTTAGATATGACATGACGCAGATAATACACAAACCCGACACAACACTCTCCATTGCCAGACCTACATACACATAAGATGCTTAAAAAAAGGTTAGGTATGAAGCAACATAGGTATATGATGCAATGATGGAGTTGATGAAAGAATAACGATGGGATAAACCTTCCGAGTAGATATAAGAATATCACGAACAGCCCCAACAGGATCATTCTTTGAACACGAGCAAAGAGGTATAGAGTTTGAGAGTAGAGTGGCACAGTACTTCTCCAGCTGCATGTTGGATATCTGAACAGGAACCCAAAACTCTAAAAACCTAGAAGAGTCTGTCTTGCAGTCATATGCAATAAATTGTGAAAGCCTCTCCTTCAGTTTACTGAGATGATCATTGGATTCACTATTTGAGACATTGCTACTATCCAAGTCACCACGACAATCAAGCAATGACAGTAAATTAAGGTACTCAGCCATGCTATCCTGAATAATTAACAAGGGATTAGTACGATCAACATGGTTAACATAACACAGAAAGCGCTAAAGATGGAACAGTACCTTTACTTGACCATTTAAAAGAAGAAATCTTGTATCAGTAGCTAACATCTTAAATTGCTCAAAATGGGCAGAGATCCTTGGGCGTTGGCACTCATCGATTATGACTGCTTCCCATCTCAGGCATTCTAACATTTCCAGATCCTGCAGACCAGGCAGCAAGAAGTAAGTGAGATAAAAATGGCCAGAAACATTGTAACCTATACATGTACCAGTAAGAAATTATATGCTACTTCATTCTTTTCTCTCAATTGAATCTTCAGATAGGATCCAAAGCAAATGCATTACATCGGTCACACAATGCAAATTAAAGTTGCAGCTTCGAAATGGCATTAAGTATCATAGAAACAAGAAAAATATAAACAGGCACGAAGGAAATTAACTGGAAGCCATGTTAGCCACTAAAATTTTCACTCTGGAATAAGTAGTTTAATTAAACCCAGAGCCGTATGAGTATTCTATCTTGGTAAGTTTCATCATAAGTATTGCCAACAATGCCAAATAGACTCTTTCTTCAAATAACTCGCCTAGACATAGCAAAGAACAATAAAGGTGTCTACTACTATTCTATAAAATGGAATACAACAACATAAAGATATTCTAAACCAAACAATAGAAATTCGTAGACATTCTCTAACAATTGCTTATTTGCTCTATTCTGAATATAAGATAAACAAAAAAAAAAAAAAAAGACTTCCTCATTACATTCTATCAGGAGCTATTCATTTGTATGGAAGGTACCTCGACAACAGCTTCTGGAGGGGATAAAAGAACTTGGAACATTGTGTTACCCCCTTCCTCATAGAACTCCAGTGTTCTAATACTTCTTCGAGTATCTCTGTTGCCACTGTAAATTACAACATCAACAGATGGCGCCAAGCGCAAGAACTCAGCTTCCCAGGAGGGAAGAGCATTGGAAGTTGCAATGATAAGGAAAGGCTGATAAACGTTGGGCAAGGATTGGATGAACAAGATGACCTTCATTACTCGGTCCTGCAAACACACAGCCATCAGATCTACTGTATGGCTTCTTATACACAAGTAAGCAATTACATATTGACAAAAAGATGTGCTCATTTAAAAGGCAAAAAGATCATTAAAATGTAGAAACTGCACAGACCAAAAAATATTCATCGGCACAGAAGGGTTTGGGGAAACAAACGGACAAGTGTCAAGAACCCATGAACACAAACACACATACACAAGTTTTTCAGTCAAGGAAAAAAAAAAACCTAACAGAACATGTAAAATTCCCAACGACAGTTCATTGCACAAAATTCAACTAGCATAACTTGTAGAATCCTACCAGTCTAGGGTCAAAAACTAGGGCTGCAACTAAATGAGAAACCAATGGATGAATGATTTTTTGATCACATACATTGAACAGAAACATTTGATAGCAAAATAGAATCGGTGATGAAGTTATTATTCAATGCACTCAAAATATGACAAACATCAAGGGCAAGTGGAACTATTCATGTATTACATGGTTGTGTCGGGAAACGCTAATACTAACATATTAAAAATCTATTTTCCTCCTAGTGATTTAAAAAGCTTGAATTAATTTTGTCTATAATATTGATACGCAAGAAAATTGGCTTTATATATAATTTGTAGAACTCAAGTTTTTCAACAACCCCACTAAAAACGATTCCTAGTTCCACCAGCTTAAGTAAGAACATGTTTATACTTGATTTCTTTTATCATTCACAAAAAAAAATCAAAAAAAGTATAAATTTACTAGTACAGGTTTTCTTTTATTTAGCCAGCCGTACATCTTTGTGTACAATACACGGATTAAAATTTCGTCTCAAAACGGTAGAAACGTTTATGTTTCCAAGGAGACCAAAACGAATCAGTGAATGAATTAAAATTTCAATACTTATTTTTAGGTGCTTCGAAATATTTCAAGATGTCTCCAAATGTTCTAAAACTAAATTCCAAATTTTTTAACCGTATCCTAGGTAACCAAAATAATGCATCGAAATGAAATTTTAATCCCAAGTACAATGTAATAGATCTTCTGTGCATTGCAATTTGCAACACGAAGTGACAACAAGACATGTATTATCTGGGGATATACATTCACTTCCCAACTGTATCTCATCATACGCATGCAGTCGTACACATCTTATTGTATGTGGGGAGGAAAGAAAACTACAGCATTACTAGATATTGTGCCCCATGCATCACAGGATTTAGTATATCAGCTAAATATTAAGCATGAAGCAAAAATCAGTCAAGAAGAATGGTTAGTGATAGGATGAATGACCTGATCATCAATAACAACAACATTCTTGTTTTTATGCCAATGCTCACGCAGCTTGTTGACAGAATTTAAGTGATTGCTATCAATTTCAGGTGAACCAACAACCGGAAGCTTTGGAAGAATAAGGAATTCCTTCTTAGTCTGCAAGATCAACAAATATTATGTAATGAACCAATAGGACAGGTATAATGTCCACAGAAATTAGCATTCAGCACTGACAACGTTATATTATGAACCAAAAATGTGAGAAGTCACGAATTTGACGCTAACAAATGCACACAGCAAACTGCTTAGGCCAAGATCGCTACTACATCAGTATGTTACTATCTTATAAAGGTAATGGTATGCAGACTTAGAGCTACTAGAATCTGGCAGAAATATGTGACCTCCTTTCCAACTTTGATTTTCAAGGCAGAGGCAGCCTAAAGTCAACCTTTCGACCAACTTTCTTCATATTAAGGGTTGTTGAAAAACTTTGATGGTGGATGTTCTAGTTTAAGGGAGAGGGTGAACACAAACTGGGACTCAGAAGATGTTCACCATTTAATCATGTTGAATCTGCTCTAAAGAAAATCTATGACTTTTCAATTGCCACATATCTGTCTAGTGATGCTTAAGCTATGCATCAAGGACACTTCTTAGCCACATCCACGCAAGACGGACTCATTGCAGACATTGAACTCACTACTGCAAGCATTTAATGAAAAGAATCATGTATAACATAAATCAAGTTCAACAATCTCGTATGTCAAGCATGAAGCAAATGAAAACCTCTTGTGTTCTTTTTATTTTTTGTAAGTAAAAACTTTTTTGTGAAAATAAGTTCATGTCCTTCAAGAAATTCCTTTTTGTTTCCTTTTCAGCTTGAAAGGATCCTTCAAAAACACCAATACATGTTTGAGTTAAGTAAACAAGTAACTGATAATGATATGCCAATCATATAGGTAATATTCATTACTTAATTAATAAAAGGAAAGTTTATTCACCAGGTTACTGTGTAATTTCATATTAAACCCAAGTTAAGAAAATATTTTCTCAAAATGATGAGAACAGGAGACAAATACTTCGTCGTTTAACTTTTAAAGGTTCCTAGTCGTAGGATTACTCTGTGGCCAATATGTAATCTAGATAGACCAGCATACACTATGTTTGCTCATATTTAATATAAGGTGACTTATCTCAAGTCACTAGTGTAGAGACACTGAAGAAATTGTTTGGGTGATTGTTAGAAAACATGTACATTGAACGTGACTATTAACTAACAAAAAAATTTTCATACGGAGTTTTACTTGTTTGTCAATGTAAGTCCTAAGTTACAGTTTTGCAACTGATCCTTATATATCTATATAATAACCATGTAACTTGGATATGTATCGTTAGAATGCACAGAGATTTATAAATTTACAACTTAGAATCTATTGCCCTAAGAAAAAAGGGGAGAATGCCCTATATGACTCAAGCTAAGGTAGAATGACAAATGAAAAAAAATTTCTAATTGATCATTGGAAGCCTTAGTCCTAAAATCAAACACATAAGATTAAGATTGAGTTAGAGGTTTAACAATAATCTTGTATCTTAAGAATTCAATTGGAGCATTGTGTGATAGAAGAATTGAATAGTATGGTAACTGAGACTGAATGGATTAGATTATTTACTTACGAAGTGCTACACGAGGGTTAGTTATGATATGTTGCTAAGTATCACTCATCATTACCAGAAGCCCGAATAACTAAATTAAAATAAGTATATTACTCCTTATAAAAGCAAAATTAGAAGAGCTTTAATTCAAACTAAATTATAAAGAGTTCCAATTTGAGATGATATTTGAAGTTAATCTCTACCACCTATAACTGGATATACTTGAACCTATAGGGTCACACACATTCATCTTACTTCTAAGTGCCAATATAGGTGAAAAACTTTTGAATTCCTATATTACCCCTAACAACATACAAAATAACTGTAACATCCTTCTGTGACTTCTCATTTTCTCTGAAACTAGCAGTTTATCTTCCTCGAATATTTAGATGCACTATGAACGAGATATGAAATGCACTAAACCATATTAAATGAGAGAGAACACGCGATTAGGCATATACACACTATTATCTTTTTGTGGACTTCTCATCTTCCTCTAAAAGTAACCGTTGCACTAAACCATTTACTAAATGAGGTAGATGACCCAAAATATGCAACATCATTCACGAATCTTTTCATGCGCAATTCTGACAAGATTAGCAACATTGTCCATATTGGGTAAAGAGGATCATCAGCAAGCAGGATCTATCATGTAAGAATCAAGTCCGATTCCCCAATCTATGCTTGTCTTTCATGGTTCAAAGTATCAGCCGATACCGATATGAGTTGGATGAATCGTATCCAACTCAGCACCTTCCAAGACGATACATTTACACGATACGTATCAATCCCGAGTCTCGCATAACTCGACCAAATTGACGGAGTTGTATCCAAGTTAATCTCGAGTCGTCGAGTTATCATTATCGAATTGGCCAATACGATTCCGCGACACTACGATATGACTTAAATATCTTGTCTTGTTTAACATTTTTTTCAGGTCATATCACTCGATAGGGCGTCGAGGCGCCGCGATTGATGTGCCTCCTAGCTCTCTAAGTAGATGGCTAATACTGTGACATTGAACCATGTTGTCTCTCTCTCATCTACTTACTTTGTGTTATGCTTGCCTCACGTCATATCAAATACAAGAAGAATGACACCACCTCGGGGTCAAATCAACAATTACCATTATGGTCTTGGAAACTTGGGTTATTTGACACTTATTCTCCATCGGCAGAATAAATGGGCCGTCTGACTTCATTTTTGGTCATCAATCTCGTGAGCGATGGCCACATGCTTGTTGAATAAACTCGCCTTTGCAATTGGGGAGAGTTCTCTTCATAGTCAATTTTTTTGTAATTCCACAAACACTTTGGTGTGATTATTTTTTGAGACACTGTGGGACTTTCTCACTTTATGATTTCATGGTTGTTGAAATATTCAATTCCCTCAATGCAATCTCTAAAGACTACTTAATCACACGGCCATCGAGAATGTATTTGGTATTGTTTCTGGTTTCAGTTGCTATTCTTAATAATGAAGTCCTTAAATTTGTGGGAAGGAGTATAAGCCAAAAAGATAAAAGTGAAGACAGGTTAATATGCTTTTAGGTTTACTCTTGTCGTGCTTCCTAAAAGCAATTTAATGGGGATGTCTGGTCTTTATATCACATATTGGCTTCTTGTGTTAGGTTTTATGCTTGCTACTAAAATGTTTTGTACTTTCCAATGGCAATCCAACTTCGTTTCGATGTTTTCAATAAAGGTTTTTAAGTAGAATTTGACCAAGAACTCTTCAATGTAGAAAAAAATAAGAAAAAAGAAAAAAAATTATAGGTCGGCCAACTAGTAGAATAAAGTAAACAAAACCAAGTAAAAAATTCTAATTAAGAGTTAATTAGTGACTTCATTACGAATAATGTTATTAAAGGGGTGGTTGTGCTATTATGGGACAATTGCAATTAAACCCAAACTAGGATTGTGGTCTTCTAAGGCTCTATAAAAACCCTCCTACAAGAGGTGATTGGTTATTTACACACTTAGTAGCACAAGAAAATTGAATATTGATAGACGCCAAACAATTGCAAGGCTTAGTGTAGAGATCCAATTCAGATTTAAAAATTCAAGACTCCTTGAAAAAGCTTAAAACTTGTACAAACACTCTTCAAGATGTAATTCCCTCAGTTTGTGTTAAAAATGAATAGATTTTGGAATAAGTAATGAATACTTAAATTCCACTGCATTTCTTATATGATAATTCGCAGTAACAACCATCTTCCAAGAGAAGGGCTCAAGGAAAATTCATAATAATCCACAAACAATTAAAAGCCTGCCTGCTTGAAAGATTTCAAATTTTGCTCATCACCACGTATGTAAGATACTGTTTTGCAACAGACTTGATGAATTTAGTCACCATTTAACAAACATAACAATATGAACCGGAGTTAAGCAAGATAAAAGAAGAAACCTTAAGTGAACTAGATAATGTCTGCAGAGGCACCTTATCAACTGTAAGGCCAGCTCTCTTTGCCTTTTCACGACGGTTGTCATATTCCCTTACAAGATCCTGACCTCGAGGCGTTGGTAAAAAAGAGACATTCTCCAATTCCCATGTGGCGTGCTTGTAATCAAGGCCACACCATTTGACAAGCCACTCACAATGGTTATCTGAAAACTCACCAGCTTGTCCACTGTGATACTTCTGCTGCTGCTTAGGGAACCTTAACATTCTTTTCCTTAGTAAACGATGTGGCACAGTCCATTCTGCATTCCATTTTGTGACCTGGGGGGTGGGTAAGGCACAGTAGTAACCCTGTTAGTAAGATAACACTTGTGATACGGAGAAATAAAAGAATCTAACAGGACCAGCCAGCCATAAAAGCATTTAAGTATCACTTGACCTGATTTTTCCGATTATATTTAGAGATAAGCGATGGGGCTTCAAGGAGCAATTGAGTTTCCGGTACCCATTGGTTGTGAATATGAGCAAGACCTTGATATTTAACAAAATATTGTTTTTGCTTTTGCAATCCTAAAATCAACATAATTTAAGTATTAGAGGGGAGGTATGAGCATCGTCCATATGTCACAAATACATTTCCGTACACAAGTTAAGCACGAATGAATGTCGATCTATAAAATATCAAAAGCAATTCTTCCAATTTCACTATTATATGTTCTTTTGTCAGACCTTTGGCATCTGAGACCTCTACTTCTTTGGCATCCCAAATTGATTCTACACCGTCTGACACTGAGTGAACACCGGATTCTATCTTCTTCTTCACACACCAGAAACAGTGCCAAACGCCTGGTGGGACATCATCCAGAGCGGGATCTAAACAAGAAAGATGGTAGCTTCCCTTGCAACTTTTTCCATCACAGCACCTGAAAGTAGAGTATATGATCAAGACACAACTTAAAACTCAGTTGTGTCAAGAGAAAAAGGAATTTGGCAAGAAGTAGAACAGTTATAGACTAAACTATGAGATAAGGTCTTCTAAGTCAGTGTGTGAGTTGAGATGAATAGAGAAGATCCAAAATATACGAAATGAAAAGGGATGCCAAGTTCAGCATCCATGCTAGCCTCTTGGCTAAGCATACCGTAGGTTAAAAAAAAACCATGGTAGATCCTCAATCAGGAACTAACAAGGCACAAGAAACACATTACTACATGTCATTGTCTAACAGTCTCCCATTTTCCTCCCATCATAGGCAAAAAATTAAGGCAGAAGCAAACATTACTTCTAGTATTGATTTACCAACTCAAGGTTATATCACTAGTTGAATGAATGAATACACCTAATGCACACAAAAGAGAAAATAAGAGTTGCTATACAGGCCACAATTTATAAATTTGCACAAAAATAAAAGGTTTACCCACAGGAGCTTTCCACCAAGCTTGCATATGACACACACATTTTCATGATCATCCATTTTGCTATTTAAAGGAGTCTCCTTTGAAGGTGCACTATCATCACTTTTTTTGTCAGCAAGTCCTGTTGTAGCACTGGCTTGTAGTTCACTTCTATCCTAATGCAGCCCATGAAAAACAATGCAATATTTATTACGAGATCGATGTAATACAATATTTTCTAGTTTTGTCATACAATGATATGGCAGAGACACTTGCAAGTACTTTCAACAATATCCAAGGATTTTCATGGCAAAATATAACTGCCCTAGAAATTGATAAGTGTACCATGAGTAACAAAAGGAGAATAGAAAGGAGAGAGTGTTTAAAGTTAAAATATGTCAGCATAAGCACAGAAGTGGAGAGACAGGTCATGGAGTAAGCCCCAATCAGGACAATGAAGCCCAGGACACAGACAGGAACGGCATTGGTTTCCCACTTGCGCTATCTATGCTTGTTTTAACTGCTAATGGATATTTATTTAAATACTCTCTACATATGTTCAGTTTGCTAAATATACTCTAGACAATTATTAAGTCTTCAGTTTGTGCAACTTTGGCTATAGAAGAGCAATCATACATTTATACTTATTCAGTGAGTGAACAAAATAACACATTCACAGCACATCAAAACTCATCTCTTTCCAACATGGGTCAGGATGAAGTAGTGCTATTATAAGCAAAGAGTATCACTTCGTTGTTAATGCTTTTATTTAAAAACATTGAGCACATTGGAATTACATATGATGTCTATCAGTATTGAGGGTGACAGTATGTTTATAGCACCTTTCCCTCCTACCTTTCCTCTGACCAAATCAAGCATGTGCAAACCGGAACACTGAATAATCAAACTCATGTCGGAGCTGCTTTTTTTTTTTTTTTTTGTGGTAAATACATAGTTGTCACTTGTCAGTATCATACAATACCCGATACATATCTTACATACGTCTCAATATAGTACCCCAACGATTTGTATTTACGAGTCGTATTATTTCTTCACCGTATCTTACGATACACTATATGTATGTTAGGTTAGGATATGTTTCGATAAAATGGAAAAATAATACGCACGAGGTCATTTTTTTTAATGTACACAGTAGACTTTTTTTACCCCAAACAGTGAAACAATGTCGTGTACTATACGTTATTTTTTCTGTTTTGGTTTGATCTCAAACAAACTAAGTTCTCAATAATCTTCTTCTCCTGCTATCCTCTATTGTGTCTCCACAATCATGTTATTCTTCTTCTCCATCAAACAGACAAAACTCTAGCTACATTTCGATCTTTGTCGTGAAAACAAATGATAGTCTCTCTTTTGATTTCTATCGGAAGCACGCGTCGCACAAAATGTTTGAAAACTATATTGATGTTACTCTGGACACTACATATTTACATATTTTAAGTTATGTGTGATGGGTATATATATATATTGCGTAAGTCACGATACACAATACTTTATTTTTGAAAAATGATATGGGTTCCGATCCACGTTTTGACAACCTTACGTAAATAAGAGTCAAGAGTAACTTCACTATATGAGCCAAGAGAAAGAAGCAGAATCCAAGAACATGAAAAGTATACAAGGCCTCGACCAATATCAGATTATACATAAAGCAGCGAAAAATTCATCCAAGAATTAACAACAGAATAAGCTAACACCAAACTCTGAAAGGCCTATGAAGATATGTTGAACATGGCGATTTGAGAGAAAATATGAGAAAGAGAAAAAGAAAGGAAAGAACCTTCTTTCTTTCCCTTTTTTTTTTTTTTTTTGACAATTAACAAAACTTTCGTTAAATAAAGGAAATAGTGCAATATGGTGGACGAAAAATCAAACCAATCAAAAATAAAAGAAAAGACAATTCAAGAAAATACATCAAAGAAAGTCACACCAAAACATAGGACATTAGAAAGTTTTCTCCTAGCTACATGTCGCAATTTAATCGAGATTAAGCAAAAAAAGGCACATCCTCAAACCTTTTAGAAGCCCTGCCCAATGGGAAGCCAAGAACTTCATTTTAACCCAATAAAAAACTCTGCATCTTCGTCCTTATCTTCAAACTTGAACTATTCATTTCTATTCCTACCACCCAAAGAATTGTCACGACCACACATTCCCACAAACATACCATGATTTGTCTGGCATAAAGAGATACAACCTCTTGGAATAACCCAACTCAAACTAAACTTTCCGTAAGCTTTACATCAAAAATTCCAAGCCACATGACAATGGATGTACAGGTGATCCACACTTCCGCTGCATCTCTACTCATTACACACCATTGAGGGGAACGACGAGTAGTTGGTCTTCTCCTTTGCAACTAAACTTTCCATGAGCTATACTCCAAGCAATAACTTGCACATTAAAGGGTAACTTATCACCCCAAATCCTAAAATGATGTCCAAAATTGACGACAAAGGAACATCAATCAACGCAGGAAAGTAAAATTTGAAAGAAAAGACATTAAAAGAATCAAGATCCCACAAACAATTGTCAACACCAAAGTGTCCAATTAAAGTAAAGACATCGAAGAGGAATGCTTCAACACTTCTCTATCATTCAAGACACTAGAGAAATTAAATTCCACCCCCCTTTAAGAAGAAGATACACAATTCATAATTGCAGTGGAAGCCTCTCAAGACCATGACAAATCTAAAAGACGAGAAAAGACAAAGCATAAGAAGAATCACCCCCAACATATATTTTTCCCAAAGCATATATTCTCACCATTCTCCACACCCAAACCCATATACGCCAAGAAACCATTTAAACCCAATAAAATGAATTTTCAAGGACGAAGAAAATAACCCCTAACCACCACTTTCGACTCCCAACCCATTGGATCAAATCCATATCTGCGTTTGATGATGCCATAGCACTAGGAATCATGTTCAAGACGAAACCTCCACACCCACTTTCATAATAAAGCAATATTTCTCTTTTCCAAATTTGCCACACCCAAATCCTCTCTAAATCGTAGATTTAAACAGAGCCTCCCACCTAATTAAGTGGATTTTTTCCCATTGCCACTCCCCTCCCAAAACAAGTTTCTCATCATTTTCTCTATCCCCCCAAAAAAACCCTCTCCTTACAAATCTTAAAAAGAGACTGAAAACAAATAGAGATACTAGCCAAGATCGGTTGTACTAAAGTAAGCCTCCCTACCCTTAATTTCCACCCAAGAGGTTGCCCCAAGTACTTCAAAGGCCAATCACTTACGTCACAGCACAGCCTACTTCAAATCACGTCAGACTTTTCTTTTTAACTATTAATTCCTACTACTAGACTTTGGGACATATTTACTTTCAAACCTAACATCAAGCTAAAATTTCAATAACATCCACTAAATGTTGAAATCTCGCGCGAAAGAAAATAAATATTGTACGTAATCTACAAATTCGAAATCTCCACTAGATCACTTCCCACCTGAAAACTCTCAACTAATTATATAATCTCTTGCCCTATCTACTAAACAACTAAGACCGTCTATGACCAAAGCAAAAATAAATGGTGAAAATAGATTTCCCAATCTAAGGCACCTTGGAGAATTAAATCTCCCTCACAGTTAACCATTAACCACCAATGATAAATCAATGATCTTAAACACACTTTATTCCAACTCCGCCATCTACTACCAAAACCTTTAACTACTAAAAGATTAAAGCAATCTCAATTCATGTGATCATATGCTTTCTCAAAATAGATCTTAAAAATCACACCTTTTCATTTGCCCAATACTCCACCACTTCATTTGCAATCAACGTAACATCTATGACTATCCTTGCTTGAACAAAAAGCACCTTGATGTTTAAAAATAGTATCTCCCAAAAATCTCTCTCAATCTACCTGACAAAACCATAGGATTAAGATCCATGACCCCATCAATAAATAATTTAGCAAACAACTTCATCAAATCATCACTAACAATCTCCCAATAATCTTGAAACACTGCCACACATAGCCAGACATAACCCTATTACACTCAAAAAACTGTCCCTTTCACCTCATTATCTTCAAATGGTCTTTCTAACCAACATAATTTCCCTTCACAAGTAGGATTTCAATCTAAACCCATAACCTTGACCTTTAAATATTTTCAACCAGGGGAAAAAAACTTCTCAAAAGCACTAAAATCTATTTTTCAACCTTTCTACGTACTATAGGACTAGTCCAACAACAACTTCCAACTTACTAATGAAATTTTTCTCCTCCTCCCGCTTGTTAGCTCATGATAAAACTTTGTTATTGTCTCCCTCTATGATCCACTTGATCTTAGTCTTTTGTCTCCATGAAATTTCTTCTTTAAACACTTCTTCCTTAAATTATTTCTTAGAATACTCCTTTCCTTTCTAAACTAATAACAAGCACCCACCCCTCTCCCCGTCCCAAAAAAAAAAAAAACCAACACTCTATTTTATCTAACTCCTCAATACGACAAGAGACTTTGCTCTTTTCCACCCAGATATCACTAAAGATATCTCTATCTTAGCCTTCCAGTTTTGCTTAATAGATTCAAAGTTAAATCCCTGTCAATCGTGTGTCAGATAACTCTGCCACCAGGACTTGAAACTTATTTTAAACAAATGATGCTCTAATCACATATTTACAAATATAAACGAAACCAGCCCCCGGCTATCCCACACTTGGCTAGGTCCATAACATTGAGGCTTGATGATCTTTACATCAATACCCTTCCCTTGTGCTACAGATAGTATTAGTCCACCAGATCGGGAAGAATTTCACATTCGCAGTCACAGTCCAACACAACAAATCATTAGCTGAATAACATAAGGTCGAAACCACTCTTTCATTCTATGACATAACAATACAATGACCACTCATCTCGATTATAGTAGAGGATACTGAGTAACGAAACAATTGGCCATCTGGAGTAGTGGACAAGTAATCTCAAACTAACAAGAAGCCTGACAAGGTACGTAAAATGATTCATAAGCTTTGGGAGTAACCTTCTAAGTAGCTAACTAGTAAGAAGAGTAACTCCAGAGTAGTAGAGAAACCATTGTTAGCTTGTGCAGCGCCAAGTAGAAGACAATTCACCTACAACAAAGTAGCTATAAATCGCTGGTAACTAGGAGGTCACCAAAAGGTTTATAAAAGAAAAAAAGGGTACCCCTAACAACAAACCAACTGCTAGACAAATCCTAACAGTTGTTTAAAGCATACTAAACACTTACTATCAAACTCGTTCATGTCTCAAAGTTTTGACTAAATTCAACGTTGAATTGATTTTCCAAACTTTTCTTTCCTATTAATCTATTCCTTGTTGGGTATATTGCAATTTGCATCAGAAAATCTCTTATTGTTCTCTCTTTCCATAACACCAGATCAAACATAACCCCTCCTTCCACCAAAAATCCAACGTTTTGACAAAGCTCCATCTAATCTCATTCCTAGGGTAACCAAGAGTGATAGAGATGCTTCAAGGCACATTAAAATTAACAAGAGGAAAAATTCAACAATAATATGGCCTGAAACTAAAGTGCGCACATTTTGGGAGCTTGAGCACAACTTCACTTGATGAGTTGAGCGTCTATTAGTCTAGATCCATGTCCCAGGTATCTGGCCAAAGGTTTCATTACAGTTAGCTAAAAGTTTCTTATCTTGGGATTTTTTTAACTATGAGTAAGTCAACTATGATTTAACAGATAGCATGACCATTAATAGAGCACAATAGCGAAACATGATTCATGTAGTAAACCCCAAAAATGTTGGGACAAGGCTTTATTGAGTTTTGTATAACTAAGTGCCAACTATTAATAGTCAGCCATCGCATTTCAGCATTGCCTCTTTACTACAACTAAGTGCCAAACATTGGTAATCATCTATTTCGACTT